CAAAAATCCTAAAATTTCACTAAAATCACAGTAAACTAAGTCTGATCATCACCTTTCATGTGCCATTTAGTTGCCAAAATAAGCTCTTACTTTTATGGACCCAGATTTGAAATGACTGATCAGTTCAACATATTTGCCTTCTGCCCTGCTCCTTGCAAGATCCTATTACACAAATTTGTTGTGGTCGAAGTTCGTCAGATCTTCTCTAACATTAAACACTGCAAGATATGTGACTTTCATTGTTTTCCAAGGACAGGCTATGTCACTAACACATCACTACACAAACTCATCTAGAGCCAGATGTGCATGTTTGCTCAGAGTCGTTAGGGGTCCTTTTGTTCTGTTGTTGTTTTTTTAAATTCAGTTCAGTTGGAAGGGACCCACAAGGACCATCTAGTCCAACTGCCTGACTACTTCAGGGCTGACCAAAAGTTAAAGCATGTTACTAAGGGCATTATCCTCATGCCTCTTAAATACTGACAGGCTTGGAGCACCAACTAACTCTCTAGGAAACTCGTTTCAGTGCTTGACCACGCTGTGGTTAAGGCAGTGTGTGTTAGGACTGAAGGAAAGCATGAGAAATCTGCCTTCACAATATCTCCAATGCATACGGACAATTGCTACAAGCCTGGGTACTGCTCTGCCAGTTCATGATGTAACCCCTGCTCTGACACCTTGCATTTGGTGCGGGAGTACTCTCTATTCTTTGGTAAGACTTTGTGCCAAGTTGTTGCACACACAGCCCAAGTATGGGAGATTTCACCTTCCCAATGAAATTGAGCCCTGATTGTGCTTCCAGAATAATCTTTTTGTTTAAATGAGCACTCATATTGAATGTAACCCACCAACATGTTGTAAAACATGAAAATATGATAACTCTTATAATAGTTGCTACCTGGACCAAGACAACAAAATCTCTTTTTATGTGACCTTGAGTGTTTAGCAGATGACAGTTACTACAAACCATAAAACTATCTGCCTGTTCCAGATGAAACATTATCATTTAGAACAATTTTATTCAACAGATTTTGGCTTTTTATTCTAGTCAAGAGTCATTTGTCAACAGACTGTGTTCTTTATCAAATGTGTGTGTTTGTTCAAAATTTACCAACTGGCTAGGTATTGATCAGATTCCTTAACCAAAATGTTTTTAAATTTCTTTCCATCCCAAATCCCTTCCTGCCCTAGCTTTTTCTGAGGACTGCAAAAAACTAATCCTTTGTGCTTAACTTCTTATTGAATATTAACATAGACTTTTCCTAGCTTTACTTTATACATGAAGTTAATTCATTTCTAGCTGTAATTCTGATAGTTTTTCTTAATTTCAGTTTGTCAAGTATTCACACAAGTAACCACTCTGTGCTCAAGAATGCTGTTAGCCCCACACCAAGTTCACAGCAAAGGCACTACGTTAAATCCATGTTTGCTTTACCTTCAGATCCTTCTACACACCTAGCTAACATTTAGTTAGATTTGAGGCATATTGTGATAAAAGGAAAGACTCACAGTGAGTTTCATGAAATTTTGGTCTGTCCTGTCTTCCTTCACTTAACTTTTAGCAGAGTTGGGAGCATTTTTCCGTTGTGTGCAGCCGAAGTGGTGTTTGGGAGGTTTTTTTACTTTTTTGGTTTTTAGGTGTATATGTGTGTATATATACCCTGCTCCTTTTTCAGCTTTAAGATTGACTGACAGAAACAAAGACTAAACCCAAAACTGTAATAAGAAAAAAATTACCCAAACTATTGAGGAACTGTTAAAATGAAATTATTAAAGGAAGATTAGCATTGCATCCAATATAAAAATAAGTATGAAATTTAGGACACCTGAATTCTTCAAGGTCATTCAAAAAAGTAATGGCCTAATTTGAGTGACTTAAATTAATCTAGTACTCACATGACTTATAATTTTTCTTTGCTTAGTGAAAGCTAAGTTCCCTAAAATAAAGGAAAAAAAAAGAAAGCTAACAAAATACTTTTCTGTTTTTATTGTTAATAAAACTTAGTGTTCAAATTAGTCTTTGTAGATAAATGGTTTTTCCTAAATATAAAGGAGGAAGGTAAAATTAAAGTTTCACAGTCCAGAGTTCTGCTTTGCCCTTTGTTACATTTCAAAGGCCTACTGAGGAAAAATACAACTTTTCAGAGAAGCCCCATAACAAACATAATATATTTCTTGCATTTATTGAAAAGCTGTCCTATGAAAACTTAATTGAACATTGATTCCCTCTGTTTTGTCTCTGGCTGAACATAATTACATGATTTAATTTGTTTTTAAAGAAACCTTACATTTCTTACTGATTGTCATAAGTGAATTTTTACAAGCTCAAATGCGTATGTATATTGATAACTTATAATGATGAAAATGAAATAAAAATGGATTTTGACTGCAGGAGTTTTAGGTAAAGCATGACTTCTCAAACTGGATTTACTGGAAAAATATCTTATTTAGACATAGGGATGTTTATACTACTGATCTGTAGATAATTCGTTACCATATGATGCTTCACATGTTGCTTTCCACTACAGTACTATTATTTTTATAGGTGATGTTAAGGCAGTAACCTCTCCATTGTGGGATGATATGCTTGGAGCCTCAATGTAAACCTGATGTTCACTCCTAATTAGTCAAAAGCAAATCCTCCCACAATCAAATATTTATTCTCTTTGGAGATATGCATATTATATTGAAATATGAGAAGTCAAATGCATGCTTTGCTGAGTTAATACATACTAGAGGGAAATGGCTTCTTTTTAGAACATCGACGAGTTATGTTTAGTTTTCTACCTCAGGCAGCCACATAAATGCTTGCCTCAGGAAACATATACGGATGCCATCGTTGTCTCCTGCAAGTGTCACTGTTTTTTATGTTTCTTTTTTTTTTAACTTATTGAGAAATTAAGGAGGTATCTGAGATAAAGTATCAGGTAGCAAACAGTTGACAGTGAGTGCTCTGTGGTATCAGTCATTTTGTGATCTCTCTCATGACTTGAAAAGAAGACTGCCGTGCCGAGCTCAGTGGCTTTGCCCCACTCTTTCACATAGGGATAGAGAAGACATTCGTTTTTTGTCTATAATAAAGCAGAATCAGTCATAAATTAGTGTGTTAATCCTAAGGACCTAATCAGCAGATAAAACACACCTAGAGATATCATATACAGACTGCATTATTAGCATATTCAGGCAACGGATGTCTAGACCATGCTGTACATACTGTATACAGTACAGAAGTGAGGATACATGTAGTGGCATATTCTTTGCTTCCCTGGGTAAATATTCTGTCATCTTACTTACAAGGTTTCTTCTATTCTTTCTGTGTTTCTGCACATGGATCTGAATTGTGTTGGTTTCATGTGATTTGAATGGGAGCTAAGAACCTTCTCCTACAAAGAAAGTGCAGATTTGTTGCCTCTGGGAAATATTTCTCCGGCTGCTCCTTCCTTGGAGGTGCTGGTGGTGAATGTATGGCAGGGAGAGGAGCACATGAATCCATTCAGTCAGGTGATGCTATTTTCACAAGGCTTTTTAAATTCACCATTAGAACTGTTTGATAGGTTCAGCTTATCTGGAAAATAGTTACTGAAGCAAGACTTTCTTGCCTAGTTGCAATGAATGTCCTATGCAGGGGAGACACAGATATATAAACCTAGACATACCTACCTTTGGGATCTGTGCTATCCTAATGAATCCCCAGTTGACATTTCTGAGTTGCAGGGCAAACAAGCTGAGAAGATCTACTGACCCAGAGCCTTTTCCAAGGGTAAATGTAAGGATGGTCTTCATGATTTAATTTGAAAGTTGTATCATACCTATATTAAGGAAAGAAACTACTTTTAACGTCAAAGTTTCAGTAAACTCAGTAGAATTCAGTAGATTTTCCTCTTTTCTTCATATTAAAACGACAACTATCTTCTTCAACCTGGATTTAAGAAGTGTCAGTTAACACCTAGTCTCTCACACATCCTACTTCTCTAGTGTAGACAAGGTGTTACTTAGACAAAGTAACAAGAGACCGGATTGCAAATGCCTGTTAAACACCGAGTAATGTGGGAGGTCTACAGATAAAAACATCTTGCAGTTTGAAGCATACTGTGATAGAATGACTCAGAGGGAAGGAAACAAAACAGGGAGGTTTCTTACTTCCAGCTCCCTCAGGACCCCTGCCGCACAGGTCTGCCATGCCCCAGGGTCAGCGCTGTCTGCATTCAGCAGCTCATAATGGGAAGTGAGGGAATGGCCCAGGACCCAGCAGGATCTGATGTGAAACACAACCACAAATGGTACCCTCTGGCAGCGTCTGCATGTCAGCAGATCAGAGCTAAAACCTAGATGTGAGGAAAACCTTCACTGCCACATTGTTTCTGATCGATGGACAGAGACTTCAATGTCTGCTTGTGCTACAGTTACATAAAAAATCTTTTTGTGTTATGAACTGCATTAGACTTTCTGTAGCAAACACAAATTAGCATATCTACTACTATTACTTTTAGCTAAAATTATTTCTTATAACTTGAGAAGTGATGCTGATTTAGCTTGTTTGCTTATTAAGACTGAAAGGGACATTGCAATCTCGGCCCACCAAAACAAGAGATTTAAAAAGAAAATATTCAAGTGTGACAAAAAGTCAAATCTACAAGCATATTGCTTTTAAAAATTGTTGTAGCTGAAATGTATCATTTTGATGCTGGGCTGTTTAACCCTTCTTAGCATAAATAACATTGTGGGAGGACAAGGAAAAATTCCAAAAAGAACACACAAAAGCTGACAGTTTGATTAAATTGTATTAAACTGGTGCTTTCTCATGAGGTATTTAACTTTCAATGAATTAAAGATTTCAGTAAACAAAAGTGGTCTGGTTCTTTACTTAATGAAAATCCTTGGCTAGCACCTTGTTTGTGTTTCTAAAGCTTTAAAAGAGAAATAAGAAAATCCCTTTTATATCTCATTGCTTTTTCATGTTATTTCGTCTTTGTTTGTGACAATATTTTTTTTTACTATTGTAGGCAATGAGAGCCTAGAAGAAAATTATGTGCAGGACAGTAAAATGGGATTTGTCATCAATGCTATATATGCTATGGCTCATGGGCTACAGAATATGCATCATTCCCTTTGCCCTGGATATGTTGGGCTGTGTGATGCTATGAAGCCAATTGATGGCAGCAAGCTCTTGGAGTTTCTTCTTAAATCCTCGTTCATCGGTGTTTCTGGAGAAGAAGTTTGGTTTGATGAAAAGGGAGATGCCCCTGGAAGGTAAAGACATGTTTCAACTAATTAAACCAGATTATGGGAAGTGGGAATGTTGCTGGGATTGGTGATGGAGATTTCGTCTGTTCTGCTGAAGCATACAGCATGCATACTGTGAGACACAAATTGACTTAATCTGGATTAATTTTACCAATAGCCAGGAATAACACTGGTAACACATGATGTATGGATAGTTACAGCTCGTACTGGGACAGGAACTGCATTATAGCCTGCCAACTTTCTAGTATTTCAGGAGAGGACAAATGTTGTATCTCATAGACTTTTGGTGTCTGAGGTACCACTGAGGCTCAGTACCAGGGTTGTAATATGTATAGAGCCCAATTCAAGTGATTGCAATTTAATGAAGCATTTGCTTGCTAAGGTTTTGAATGTAGGGCTGTAGAGCACAATCTTTACCAACTGGAGCTCTGCTGCTCCAAAAGTGCCCCAGGACATAACACTGCATCCTTGCCAGAGGCTGTTTAGTTCTAACTGCTGAACTCCTGTGTGCCCTCCTTAACTTGTTTCACTCCAAAGAAGATTGTCTGTACCAGAGTTTGACAATAAGTCTAAGTAGAGCAGGATAAATATTTATTTCTTTGCCAGAAGGTACTGTGTTTCACTCACTTAGAGACTGGTAAATTCTAGCTGTGGTAGCTGCTACTGTCTGCCACTCCCTAGCAGACACAATATGCACCCAAGCAATGGGTGAGACAGCAGCTTTGTGGACTTGGACGTCACCTGTGTTTCTGTTACAGGAGCCAGCTGACAGAAATCTTTTCCTCTCCATTTAGTTCTGAGGTCTCTGCCCAACTGTTTTAAGTGTGACACCTCCCAGATATCCATACACTATTTTTGAGTTGTTTCTTTATTTGGGGGTTTGTTTTGTTGGTGTTTGGTTTTTTGTGGTTTTTTTTAATAAATAAATTTAATTCAGCTGCTGAAGTACACAATCCATTATTAACTGAAACCTACTCAAGGGTTGCTTCACTGAAGTTAGTTTTCCTACTGAGTTGTTAAAGTGTTATAAAAGACTCTCTCACTCCATCTTTGGGCTTATTGCATAAATGCATCTGAGTGCCAACACTGCACAAAGAGAGTGCTCTGGAACAAACAAGGATTTGCAGTCTGGCATATGCGGTCAAAGAGTATTTGTAGGATATAGTGGTCTTAAAGCAACTCTTATCTCTATTACTAGCCTTTATTAGCAAAACTGACCAACTTTTTTACCATTTTCTATTTAAATTGCTTTTTATATTTAAACAGTTATACATATAAGCAGCTTGTTACATCTAAACAGTAGTAAAAAGTTGGTCAGTTTGGTCTTCTTGTTGAGTGTTGTGTAATTCAGATTTTCTAAGTCAAAGTTATAGATGACCTAGGTCAGACTTTGAAAGCAGAGGCAAGCAATTCCCTTAGTCAATCACATACTTGTTGATACAAATGCATAAATCAAATCTTTGCACATATAATTTAGATAATACAAATTACTGCTTAGTGTAGCTTTAAGTTTATTACACACTATTTACCTTCATAAAAGCATTACTCCAGCTTTGCATATGGTCCATTGTGGAGCAGCTGAGGGAGCTGGGTCTCTTTAGTTTGCAGAAGAGGAGACTGAGGGGAGACCTCATTCATGTTTATAAATATTTAAAGGGTGAGTGTCACGAGGATGGAGCCAGGCTCTTCTTGGTGACAAACAATGATAGGACAAGGGGTAACGGACACAAGCTGGAACACAGGAGGTTCCACTTAAATTTGAGAAGAAACTTCTTCTCAGTGAGGGTGACAGAGCACTGGAACAGGCTGCCCAGAGAGGTTGTGGAGTCTCCTTCTCTGGAGACATTCAAAACCCGCCTGGACCACTTCCTGTGCAACCTCATCTAAGTGTTCCTGCTCCGGCAGGGGGATTGGACTAGATGATCTTTTGAGGTCCCTTCCAATCCCTAACGTTCTGTGATTCTGTGATTCTGTGATTCTGTGTGTGATGTTTATGTGTAATTTTCCAATTTAGGCCAAATCTTATTTATTATCTTGTCACCTGAGAGCATTTCTGCAACTCACATCAGTACCAAGCATAGAATAAGAATGAACATTTCCGGAATTCAAAATTTGAAGAGTTTATATCAGGGAATTTTTCTGAGTAGGTTAGAATGATAGACCCATTCATCCATTGGTTTGATCTATAACAGGGTTCATTTCTCTCAACTCCCTGGCCTATTTAGAATTTGATGAGTTTTTTTCAAGTAGGGTTTTTTGTTGTTCATTATCTGTATTTTCACAGCTGGAGTTAGCAAGATTGGGCAAGAAAGTTCAATTAAACCTTTTGTTATTCATGCTGTATTCCTTGGCTCAGTCTGTGGCATTTATGACATGGTCAATATCATATCAGAGAATGGTGATGTGTATATGTAATGTGATCTATACAGATTGTCAGGTCTTTGTATGCCAGCAGTGGTTTATGCCCATTCAGAATTGTATTTAGGCCCAGACTAGCCCTAGTGTTTCTACGGCTCCACATGGAAAAACTCTTTGTGGATGAGTGAATGGACCATACAAGTGTATCAAAACCCAAAAGAACTTTTGTACCTCAGCAAAATGAAAAGATAAACACTCCATACAACCACCCTAAATACAGCAAAGAGCCAGACCTGAAATTTCCCCATTTTTTAAGCTTTTTTATGCCAGTGCAAGAATGTTGCACAAATATGTAAAAAGTTTTTTTATATTATGTTACCATATCATATAAGTACATCAACTTCACAAGATGGAATAAATGTATAGTCACTCTCAGAAGGCAGAAACCTTCCTCATACTTTATTTTCAAAATATGTGAGGTTCTTTGAGGAATTGACTCTCAGAAGCTTATAGTTACAATCATCATGGGTAAAGTGGATAGAGATATCTGTAGTTATGTTTGCCTGACACTGACATAATTTCCTGTTTTGAACCCCTAACAGCTTCATCAAACCCTAACCATTTATTTAGATGTAACTCTTTTTCTCTCTCAGGCTCAATTCATGGTTTCAAGCTTTTGTCACAATGAGATTAGAAAACATGAAGCACTTTTTTAAAGGTTTGATTCTTCTGTGCAGAATATTTTCTTTGAGGAGCTTTTAAGCAGAAATGTGAAGCAGACCTTTATCAGAAGGGCACAAATGCAGTCACTTAACTGACTGCACTGCCTCCAAGAAAAATGACGTGGATGTAGCTCTAGAAAATCAACAGTGTGTGCTTATTGTACTGTCATTAAGAACCTGCTGTTAAAATTGCAAAAGTTTTTACTTTCATTGAGTACCTCCCATTTCCCTTCTCAATAGTAATCATATCACTCAAATTCCCAGAAATGCCTGGAGGAGGTGTGAAGGATGAATTAGTCAATACCACATTCTTGTCTGGGCCTGTGCAAAGGGCAGGTGACAGATCCATTTTGAGTTCTTGTCTATTCTAGGATAACTGCCTGCTTTTTGCTTATGGCAGCTATGAAGCAACTTACCTTCAACTTGTATATAAAGGATTTTTTTGTCAAATATATGTCGTCATTTTGGAGTTTGGCTTTATAGGTGGTTATTTTGGACAGTTACATCCCAGCATTGCTCAGCATTGTTGTTTTCTCTTCTGCCTCCCAGGACAGCAAATCTCACTGCCAGTTTGGTATTATGACTATGGATAAAGGTAACTTCAGGTATCTCAGACTATCAGAGTAAGAGTGTGCCTGTGACCAGTTGGCTAATGGTCTGGCTCACTTCACAAGTAACATGTTCATATGACACCACCTATTTGGTCACATCATTTCCCAACATACTAGAAACCTTGCTGTTATATTAAAAGAAGGGTTCCTTTACTTTTCTGCAGAATGTTTTCATGCGTTCTGTAAATGCTGCCATAGATGTGTGAAATCCAGCTGCCTCTATGATCCTCACTCTCTTAGAGCTTTACAACTCTTGTAAAACCCACTTCTTTTAGGATAATAATTTTTGGCTTGGACACAGCCCCAGACTGTTAAAGTTGTACATATGTGAGTGAGGGGATGGGGGAGGTATTCTAGCACTGAGCTTGTCCTTACTCAAAGCAGAAATTTTTCATTAATGAGAAGAAGGAAAGGATAAAGGATATAAGCATGTTTCCATATACCAAATGTATTTGTTAGACCACATTTTTCCACTTAAAATTGAAGCTGCATATCAAAGCCACAAACATTGTACTACAACTTGTCATTATGCAAGACTGTGTAAGAGCTTTTAGTCTGCATACTTCATTCTTTGACAGATAACTGATAGAAAAGGGAACAGTATTATAAGAAAACATAAGAATGGCTTTCAACCTAAAATCATATCCCTGAAATTGCCAACTCTTGATTGATATTGCATTAATGCCACTCTGTGCCTTATAATATATTTTTTCAAAACTGAAAACAATCTGTGCAGGCTCAAAAATTCCATTAAGAGAATGTGAGGTTTTAGTAATCTTTTATTCCTCTTTCTGAATTAATTTTTCAGCCTAGAGTAACTGATTTTGTATCAGTCTAATACAAGGTCACACTAAAATCCAAGTAGGTTCTTCCTGCGAGGAAGAGGCAAGTACTTTCTTCAATGTTCCTCCTGTCTGTTGAGTCTACATTATAAAGTGCATGACTCTTAGAGTTTCTTGCTATCCTGATTCTTCACAATACTGAGAACAGTATTCCCTTTTTTTAATGTTCTTTCTTTGTAAGAACTGGGATATGAGAAGGAATTGTTTCCTAGTGAATTTGAAATCTACCCCTTTTCTAAGCAACTCCCTGATTAGTAGCTGAGTGCCAACCAATGGAGCTGCCTCCTGCTTGGAGCTCTATTGAGCCCAGTGGCGTAAGTCCCTTTTCCCATGTGATTCAGTAGAGCTCTGCAATGGCACTGACAAGGTCTGAGCATGCATATTTGCAAGACCAAGGTCTAAATATAGTTGTAAATATGCACTTCCTTAAATCATCTTTAACTAGAGAGATCCCAAAGACTCAGTTAAGAAAAGCAGACATCTAGAGAGTAATTCTAGCACCTCTTTCCTCTGTAAAGTGCAGAGAGAGTTGAAATTTTGTATGTTTGAACCTCATCAGGAAAAAGAAATGGATATGTCTCTTTGCCCACAACCAAGCATCCCAGTTTTATTTATGGCTCATACTTTGCTTACCTTTCATTCCTAATGCACATGCAGATTAGCAAGACTCAAACAAAAGACTTTTTTCCCAGAGACTAAGACAATCCAGTAGAGAAAAACAAGACAGTAACTCCCAGGCTTGGAAAAGAGAAGATGATTTGTGATTTTGAGCTCCAGTGCTAATTTCTGATTCTCAGACATCTTTCTTGTACTTTTTTAAACAATGCTCTCCCGCTTCTCATCTTAAGAGATCAACTTGTAGGTCTGGCCTCTTTCGTGATTCTTTCTCTCTGTGCAAACTCTAAAATTCATTCCCCCATTCTTGCTTATTTTCTACTAAGAAATCACCATACTTAAGCACTTCTTTGCACAGGTCACATTCTGTGGATTAAAGGAGGAGTAGAGTAATTACCAGTAAGGGATGTGCACACACCAGGCCCATCACATGGAAGGCAACAATGGAGGCAGGGAAGCTGAATGTTTATGGTAGCAGTGTTTTATGCTTCCATTACAGTAGCCTTGGGAAGTTCTCTCCTACTTGCCTAGGGTGAGAAAGTAAAATTTGTGCCTGAGCTGCTGACTTTTCCTGATAGTCTCACTGGGCTGGATAATATAAATAGTTGAACTAGTGCTTACAGTTAACTTATGGCACAGCGGTTCCATTAGTTTGAGCATTTCTACTGATTATTTTAGAGCTCCCAGAAGGGGTTATTCTGCAACCAACCTGTATGTAAGCCCCAAGTGAAAGTTAAAGACACCTTGAAAGATGGCTGAAAAACACACCATTCAGACAGTGTCTACAGGTGCATCTTTAGCAGAGCCTTCTGTCTTTGATGTGCAGTTCTTTCTGGACGCACAACTTTATATCCACAGCTTTATGTAAGCAGGCAACTGGTAATTGTGTGGCAATCAATCAGAGCTGTCATTTCCCATGATTCTGCTGCAAATCCTATGGCATTTTGTGTTGGAATGAAACTCTAGTCCCTGTTGTTAAGGGATGACATTAATATTATGGAAGCACAAGGAGTAGGGCAATGTACATTTTGGTCCTTCATGTTGCAGGACAGTGACTCGCTTTCTCTTTTTTCCCTTGCAGGTATGACATCATGAACCTGCAGTACATAGAGCCCAACCGCTATGACTATGTCCTCATTGGAACCTGGCACGAGGGTGTGCTCAACATCGACGACTACAGGATTCAGATGAATAAGAGTGGAATGGTCCGGTCTGTTTGCAGTGAGCCTTGCTTGAAGGGACAGATTAAGGTGTGCCTCAGACACTTACTTTCTGTTGCAGAAATGTGAATAACCAGTCAGTGTTTTTTCCCTAAACATGAGCATGTTTCTTTCAAGCCAAGGTATAAGACTTCCTTCACTTCCGGAAAGCCAAAAGTGTAGGAAGACTTCTAGATTAACATCTTACTCTTACAATACCATATACAGGCCCATATTTTCTAAAATTGGCCTTTGTAGTGATGCAGAATCTTCTAGTGTGACAGGATTTTAATTTCACCTTATGTGAGAAAGAACAAGATTTTCACTTAGTCATTGTCTACAACATTCAGTGGCTGTGATTCACTTGGGGGCTGGTCCTGAAAATAGTATGACCCATGGGAATCCAGTATTTTGTTCCAGCAATAACATCTGCAAGAAAAAGGAAAAAAAAAAAAGTCTATTTGTATCTCATGTTCACAACAGGAAATATGAAAACACAAGTGAAATCACTCTGTGTTTACCAAACAGTAACACTTTTATCAAGCTACAAATAATTTGCCACCTGCCATGTCTGGATGACATAAAGACATGTTTCACCACTATCAAAATGGTATGGATGCAGTAAGTTTAAAATGGCAAAAAGCCCATTCAGGAAAATCACCTTAGAGCAGACCTTCCTTTCTAATTTCATTTAATAAGCATGTTTGCAGCTTTTTAATTCAACATTGCTACTCTAAGCAATAAGTGATTGATGATTTGGCAAAGGCTTAGTGACATACTCCAGCAATCTTGGAGGGGTAACATTATCAGTATTTACTACACTCCAAAACATCTTTTCCCTGTTTTTGAGATTGTGCAGTTTGTGTATGTGTGTATATGTAAACACTGTGCATACAAATGCCAGCTTCGGCTTCCATTTAATTCTATTGGACTCTATCCACAGGAGGAAATGTCAACAAAAAAAGCCCACAAAACCAGAATTCAAAAAACCAAACATTTTGTATTTCAATACTGCATTTAGCTCTGCATATAGTTGGATAGGAAGATCCTGGAGAGAAGACTGGGGTCCTCTTTTCTGACAAACTGGAACAGAATCTTTGTTGGAGCCTCATGAGCTAGAGATATCCTTAATCTTTATTTCAGCCTCAGTGTAATGAAACTAGGAGTCACGACATGGAAACCATCTTTTCAACATTGGATCATTACACTTAGCAGTCTTCACAGCAGAGAAAAATACAACTTCCAGGGACATTTGTCTCCAAAAGAGTTGTTCCAGAGCATGCTCTTTGTTACCACATATTGGTTTTATTTTCTACTAGGACCCATTACATTCCTTTAGCAGTATATTTTTTAATTTGCTCTTATTTGAATTTCTATTTACACTAGTGTAATAAGCGCCAAAGAGACTTCCATGTAAATTGGAAATTAGGTATGGGTGCCTGTGCTCGTGTGTATATACATACATACATACACATATATATATATATGTGTGTGTGTGTGCATCCATGAAGCACTCTTTGTTCTAACCTTTGACTTTGTTTACTGCTTTTTACGATGTGATAGATATTAAGCTTGGGCTGAGCTATTAAGCATCTTCTCAAGATTGATTGAAAATATAACACTCACCATGCCTGTGTACCAAAGGGAAAATGGTTTTGTACTTTTAATTTAGACCTGCTTCCCCCAAAACAGAATTGAATTGTCCCTGGGGATTATCCTTGAATTCCTAAGCACAAACTTTTATATGCAGGGGTAGATACAGAATCAGGATTCATGTTTTCTAGTTGTTTGAAATGTGTCTTACACAGGAATCCTGTCATAATTTAAACAGTGCCAGTAGTATCTATTTGCTGAGGAGGCTTCTGTGTTGTCTTATAGTGGATCATAGCTGAGGATGTATTTTGCATTACAGGTGATCAGGAAAGGAGAAGTGAGTTGCTGCTGGATTTGCACGGCTTGCAAGGAGAATGAATTTGTTCAGGATGAATTCACATGTAAAGCCTGTGAGCTTGGCTGGTGGCCGAATGCTGACCTGACAGGTAGGGACATGTCCCTCCAAATGCATTCCCATTTTACATGGAGAATGGTGTGTGGTGGAGAGTAAGGTGGCAGCATGCATAAACACGCATCCCAGTGCAGTTTAGAGTGAGTGAAAGGTGCTGTAACTTTTGGCTCAGTTCAACAGCAGTGACAATAAAGACAGCAAAATTTCTGCCAAGAAGAAATTATATAATTTGTCTGATCCTCACCTTCAGTTAGCATAAACATTGATAAAGCTGTTTAGATTACTAATGAACTTAGCAGCATTCGCTGCAATTTTAGCACTGATTATCATAAGAGCTCAGTGCATTCTTGTCAGATTGACTCGATACTCTTTCTGATCATTCTACCACGCAATTAGTGATACTTTATCTGTGATTTTAGACCATTCAGTAACTGAATATCAGACTTTAATTTGGTATAAAGATCATTCTCACTGCACTTGCGAGCCAGAGGAACATCAACAAAATCCTAAAAAAGGCTGTCAGAAGAAAGGGAAATAGCTAGAATTGGTCTCCCCTGTGTATATGCTTTGGATGAGTTGTATGCTATGGCATCTTTCTGTTATTTTGTACCTATCAAGGACAACCTCCACACTTGCTCTGGGCTTTGCAGTAACCATTATCCCAAGAAAATAGATTTAATGCACTGAGAAGTACCACTTTGACCTTGAGGTTTGCTTTGTATCCCTGTAAAAGACTACTGGCATCTCTGCCCCATGCAGATGTCAGTATTCAGCAGGGCATCGTTCCTAGTCAGAGAAACAACCTGACTACCTACCTGAAGATCAGATATGCAACTTATCACATCTTTGTCCTTTAATAAGACTGGCTGGAAGCTAGATGATGCTGTAGTATCTAACACATAGACGAAGTACTCAAATCACCATTCAAGTACCTTGATTAAATAGTTCCAAGAGGTACTGTTAAGCTAGTCACTGAAGCCAAATTGAGCTTTCAGAAGATTTGTTTAGAGAGGGAAAGCTGGCCACTTCCCCAGCTAAAAATATATTATGAATCACAATAAACTGTGAAACTTGACCCATTATCTCTCTTGGCTTCCTGTGACAAATAAGCTGTGGCCATGTCCCAGATGTGTGAGTATCTGCCTATATCTCATCCCTTTCACCCTAAAGCCCTCACACACACCTTCTTCCCTCTCTCTGGTGTGTAACTGAATCCACTCCAAAGAAGTTTTGTCAGGATACAGAAATCAGTTATACATCATTCAGTTTCTTCAGATTTCATGTAAGAAGAGTTCTTGAAAAACACTTTCTGTAAGGGCCCCAGTTGTGGAAAAACATCTTGTATTACCAGACACCAGAAAATCCACAGCACCCTTCATAAATGTCCTGACCACTGAAAAAGCTCATATTCAACTGCCACCTCCTAGGACACCAGTTTCTGTTAAATTTAAAGCAGATATCCATAGACAACAGGGTTCTGTTAGTCTGGGAGGTTCACAGAATTGTTTGTATCTACTATTCAGGGAAGTGTATCTACTGTTCAGGGAAGAAAACTGGGACTTGTTTTTAATCAATAAGGCAGAACAAGAACATAGTGAGAGATCAATGTGCACTTGAGCGAATATGGTTCACAATCCTACCAGCTGCCCAAAATAGCTCAAAAGGGGGCATGTCAAAATGACAAGCACTGCTGAAAGCAGTGAGGAAAGCATCAGTGCTGGAAAAAATCTCAGGGGCATGTTGCAATCTATTAACTTTTAATGAAATCAGTAGATGACCTGCTGATTTGTGCTTCTTCTCAGCAAGGAGACTGGACTGCTGCTGTTCTAAAATCCCAGTAACATCAGCCAAATGACAGCACAGCCATCGACTTATTTCCTAGAGATCATCAAAATGGCAGTCTGCTCTTGTGCAGCTTCTTCATTCTGTCTTATTGAGGAAAAAAAATAAATAAATTAACCCCTGCAACTCATTTACTTAAATTGCAGTACATAGTGCAAAGTTGTGAAGAGAAGCTAATGCTATTCTAACCTTTAGAAAAGGATGACTGAGCTAGATAAACTTTGGCTGTTGAATTTTGTGGGTACCATTGGTACCATTTAACTTGGAATTCTCTTTTATTGCCAGGATTTCTCCCATCAAATGTGTTTTTATAGCTTGCTTTTATGTGTTGTATTCATACTGTGCCAGTCACCATAGCATCTAGACACAGAGATTAACATCTCACATTTCAGAATCTTTTTCCCGTTGCCTTAAATCTGAAATGCTAAACATGTGTGCAGTTTTAGTCCCATTTTCCATCACAGGTGGAAGTTCTAAAATCCTTAGTCCTTTCAAGAAATGTGAAGCACATACTAACCCATTTCCTGAGACATGGTTTTCAAGGTGCTCATTCTCTCCATTTGAAATTAGTCTATGTTGCTCAGCAATCCTTTTCTGACATCTTAATTTTATGTTTAAATACATATATATATTTTTACATTGCTTCCCTTAAATATGTGTACAGTAAAGAGGAGTCAGCAGGCACAAAGGATTGCTCACCACATATGATAAAAACGTAACTTGACAAATAGTCACTAAAATCAGTATCTGAAGGCCTTGTGCCAAGAAGAGATAACCCTTATAGTATCAGAATCCAACATAAGAGGAATGAATGTCAAGCTAGTAAACTCAGTTTACATAAATCATCTTAAATAAGCAATAAAATAAGATAGGACAGGAAGTTTTACAGAGTTACTATGAAATTAATCATAAAGCTCTGGGGCCATCAGTTACCTGGGATGTGTTAATGATCGCAGAAAACTACTTGGATTGTCTTATTGACTTTGCAGTATGAATATAATTTAAAAAAATAAATTAAAAATTGATTAGCCTCCTGCTCTAGGAAATGATTCATGGTTAAAGTGCAGGGAAAATAGTAGATGAAAGCTACCAAGCAGCTTTTTATTAGAAGCTATTAACTGTTAAGCTTTTGCCACTAATTCTCTGATTTGTTGAGGTTTAGGTTAGTTGTGAGAGTTTTGGGGGGATTTTTGTGTTGGTTTTTTTTGTGTTTGTTTGTTTGTTTTTTGTGGCGGTTTTTGGATTTGGTTTTTGTTGTTGTTTTTTAAGAAAACATATACATACACCATTTCCTGAGTATCCTTCTCCAGTCTCAACAAGGTTCCCTAGCCCACTTTCTTCTAGCTGGGAAATGACTCACCTTCTCAGGTGCTGACAACCAACAACTCATTGCTGATATAAGTGTTTTAGGTGTTTTTTTGCAATGTTTGTAGCATATGTGGCTCTTGGGGCTTGCTGGTGCATAAGAATTACACTGATTAAATGAAACAGATTTCTAAGACCTTACACAGGATAAGCTTAAAGCAATTGATAGGCTTAACTACCATGCTGAATCAGGGCTAATGCTCTGAAAGTATCATTTAAGATAGAATGAGTATGGCTTCATGTTGCTAAGCTTAAAGTCCACATTGAAACTTAGCCTTTCCAGCAACCACAGGTTGGCTTCTCATCTATGAAGAGCTTTTCATGTATTAATCAATGAGAAGAAGCTTCTGATTCTTAGTCTTATTAAATCAAAGAAGGAGCCAACTTCTACTCAGGGCTTCTGTGGCCAATGGCTAGAAGTTCTTACTTATAATAAAAAGCTTTTCCTTCATATTCCATTAATGAAAATACTGGCTGGAAGAATGGGTTTTCTCACCTATCTGAGTCTCGAACAGACCATTTTGAGCAAAACAGAATTCCTTTTCTTTGTAAAATAAGACCTCCAGTTGCACGTACTATCATTTCTATTGCTTTTGATGTTATGGGTACATGTAACATCATTACCTGTAGTTAAGTAGAAGCAGTACCTGTAGTTAAGTCAGTCCAGTACTCAGAGACAAACAGGACAGAATTAGACATTCTTTCAGTTCATATGACATTGGCAGACATTAAAAGGTTAAGCAGAAATTTTCCATGTCAGAACTTTGCCTCAGGCTGATATTTTTAACTTCAACAAAAAACATTTTTTCGTCTTCTGTATCTCAAAATGAGGTTACACTGAAACTGTTCAACCTCTATCCATACCTCTGCTTACTTCTTTTGTATTTGGAAAGAAGGACTTTACATTTTGGTGGAGGTATCAGTTGGTAATTTTGTGTCACCCTGTGTAAGATGCATATAAATTGAGCAGAACTGTGGGCCTCAGAAGCTTTTAGTTCATATAGGTTGGTTTCTGCAGATGTACTCCATACTGAGGAGGAAAGGGCTGAGCATAACTTCCGCTCAGTATACTATCTGTGCCCTTGCTAAGATTTAGTAGCAAAACTAAGAGGGAAAAATGCCTCCCTTACAAGCTTAAACAGAAATATACTAAGAATGTATGGTATCTATGGTGTAGTTGCATTAGAACTGTGGATTTATTACTGTTTTTCTGCTCATAGATCTCTAAATAATTTCTATTAGATCTCTAATTAATTTCTTTTATCTATAAAATCACGCTCACAAAAATGTAGTGGGTCAAGTTATGATTTTGATAAAGATTAAAGTAAGTTAGTCTGAAGAGGTCAAAAAGCTACCCATACTGATCTGTAACAATCCTTTCCCACTGAAATAAAGGGATATTGCTGAGTTTGTCTGGCTGTTTACAGCTCTGGATTTGATATGCTGGGCTTGTCAGCAGGTATCTCAAGAAAATTTATTAAAAAATTTCAAAATATCATTTTCCTTTGTAGCATCATGAGCAAACATTTGGGACACACAAAACTGATGACTGTTTTTTGAACATATTTCATCCAAACATTGCCATGCCACAGTTCACTCCTTTGTAAAATGTTTTTAAATATCCATGGCACATAGGAATAAGATAATGTTTGGATTATATCTGGAGCCAGGAAAAAAAAGTTCTTTCTTCAAGCAGCTACCTTTCTAACACTGTTTCTTTTCTGTACACTGCAGGCTGTGAACCCATCCCTGTAAAGTACCTCCAGTGGAGCAATATAGAGTCTATTGTGGCTGTGGTCTTTTCCTGCCTGGGGATCCTGGTCACCATGTTTGTCACCCTTATCTTTGTGCTCTACAGGGACACCCCTGTTGTCAAATCCTCCAGCCGGGAGCTCTGCTACATTATCCTTGCTGGCATCTTTCTGGGTTATGTCTGCCCTTTCACCCTTATAGCTAAACCCACCACAACGTCCTGTTACCTCCAGCGCCTTCTGGTGGGTCTCTCCTCTGCCATGTGCTATTCTGCCCTTGTGACCAAAACCAACCGCATTGCACGCATCCTGGCAGGCAGCAAAAAGAAGATCTGTACCCGCAAGCCACGTTTCATGAGCGCATGGGCCCAAGTAGTCATTGCCTCCATTTTGATAAGCGTGCAGTTGACACTGGTGATTACGCTGATTATTCTGGAGCCCCCAATGCCCATCCTCTCCTACCCCAGCATTAAGGAAGTTTACCTTATCTGCAACACCAGCAACCTAGGCGTCGTGGCTCCTGTGGGCTACAATGGACTCCTCATCATGAGCTGCACATACTATGCCTTCAAGACTCGCAATGTGCCTGCCAATTTCAATGAGGCCAAGTACATTGCATTCACCATGTACACCACTTGTATCATCTGGCTGGCCTTTGTGCCTATCTATTTTGGGAGCAACTACAAGATCATCACCACCTGTTTTGCAGTAAGCCTGAGTGTGACAGTGGCACTGGGGTGCATGTTCACTCCTAAGATGTACATCATCATAGCCAAGCCTGAGAGGAACGTCCGCAGTGCCTTCACCACCTCAGATGTGGTGCGTATGCATGTCGGGGATGGCAAGGCACCTTGCAAATCCAACACTTTCCTCAACATATTCCGGAGAAAGAAGCCAGGGGCTGGAAATCCAAAGTAAGTGATTGACTGCAGGCACAAATATATCTGTATATGTCCTTCTCTTTGCTGTCCAATCTTGATTGACTGTAGTCTGCTGAATAGTAAGGTATGTAACAGTTTTTCATGTCATGTGTAGCAGAAAAGTTGGAAATGGTCCCTTAGATCTGAGCCTCAGATAGATATTGACATGTTGCTTCTTATTTTCTCTCCTGCTCTAAAGGCAACCATGTACACAACCCCCTCTACCTCTGGGGCAGGTCAGGCAGTGGCAGAGTAACCAAGCTTTATTTGCAGCTTCTCTTATCTCTCTGTCCATGTGATGGGGATCTCACACCCCTGTGTGCAGTTGCTCTGCATTATGTTCAAACTGAGGTGCTATTGTAGCCTTTTGGAAAAGGGGTCCAGAAATCTATGTCTGAGTGGTTGTAAATCACACGTACTTGTCTAAGGCCACTGGGATGTGTGTGTGTGAAAGCTGGGGATTGAATATCAGCTTTTAAGGTAGCGTATTGTGACATTCCTCATGGTTGTGATCCAAAAACACCCTTCATACTATCTTTATGCTTTATTTAGTATTCAGAATTATGAGCAACACTCTTAATCATCATTAGTGTAAACTTGTTCGTGTTCTTAAACCCAGTGTTGGTGTTAAAATTGCAGAAGTCAGTTGATGGTGAAAATGAACTTGCATCCACATCTATTGAACTTGTTATTTTCCTTGCTAATAATTAAAAGCAACCCAGCTGCAGCAGAGGGGAGAGAGAACTGTTACTTCAAACAGCATCTCCCTGTGAGCAGCTGTCTGAACATTTGCATTCTTTATTATCTTAGTGCTTTTTAATCTTTAAAGAAGCACCATAGGGCTAAACATGAGCTTAGATAATTTTTTTCCCAATTAAAAAAAAATTACCAAAATAACAAAGAACCAGTGAAGCCTACATTTCTGAGCTTTCTGATACAATTAAAATTCTGTTAATTTCCAGCTATTTGGGATCTATAGGTTTCTCTGAGTCACTCGAGTTAGTTTTGATTCAGTTTGCAGAAGAGTGATTTTTGTATGTCCTGCAGATAGAAGGGATAAGGACGGAGGTAATACCATAGAAAACCCATGCTGTGATCAATTTTGCCTTTATGCTATTTCAATACTTTTTATTTTGTTGCCAGACAGGGGGTCAGAAGAGAAGGGAATGAAGACATAAGCAACCCAGATATACAGCTCAGTGTGGCATGGAGGCCATAAGACTGCTGGCTCCTGAGCTAGACAGAGAGGGAGCTGGGAGTGGCTGGGAGCCCTGGAAGCCCTTCATGCAGGGAGATGGCCAAAAATTTCTGTAGCTCAAGATCTTGAATTTCATGCAAATAGAAAGTTGAAGTCTGATCCAGCCTTCCTCTGACTCTATGGAAGTTGGATGGGGTCTTACATGTCTGTAAGAAACTACTGTGGTGTCTCTACAGCATAGTCTCTGGCTAATGCTGTTGATATCTTTAAGATTATGTCTGATTTTTAAAAGAAAGACTATTGAGTATTTTAGATCATGGGAAACTTAGTAACTACTTCTTTGTTGTTCTTCCTGTTATTCTACTTTCATAAAAAAAATTGTACTTTAAAAGATCCAAATGCAGTATATTTAGAATACAATTCATAATATGAGAAAATATTTTATCCTGTTCAACAATCAAGCTTCTACTCAGCATCATCACCTTAAAAAAACACAGGGCATACCTGAACTTTTTCGCAATTTGTTTGTTGCATAATTTTAGTAAGATTTTCTTGACCTCTCTGCTGAGCCTGTGTGAGTAGTATGAAGCAAAAAAAGCCCTGCAGGGTTTTAAGGTCAACATCTAGTTAATATGCTTTTTTTGTCTCAGGTCAAGCCTCCAGATCTTTTACACTGCAAAATCCCAACCTCTGACTTAAACCTCTCGTGCGGCTACTGCTGTGTTCTCCACCTAAACCAGCACAGATGGGATGATAGACTTGCTGATGGAGAAGGACAGCATACCTCTCTTCACATCGACACTGAAAGCAGTGTAGTATACAGACATGCAGCTTTGGAAATAAAGTCACAAGACAGTACAGAAAGTAATTTTGGGACTTTGGAGGGTATTTTAGCTCCTAGCAGAGTCCATTGCAAAGCTTTATGTACATTGCACTGACGCAAATAAAGAAGTGTGAGTCACTGAGGAAACCAAAAAGGGAAAAGTGGAATTTGCAGGAGCCTAAACACCTAGATAACTCAAATGTGTAGTCAGGTCCTTCCTGAAACAGGACTTGAAATTACTGGAACATGCTTAATGTCCACAGGAACGGACTCCACGCTAATCTTCTTTTTTTTTTTTTAAATTTCCTATCAAAATCTGGGATTTATTTGCCAGTTTTTCAGTAATTCAGATCCCTAAGCATGTTGCTCTGCTTCTTGATTCTGTAATTGTCCCTTCCTATGGCCATATTTTTTCATCTGTAAGTAGCCAGTAGTGCTTCACTCAGAACATTTCTTTTACAGCTGTCTTACAACAACTTTCCATCCATTTTCTTGTTATCTCTTCTCTCTCTTTCTAGCTTGTTTCTCTTTTTCTATGTTTTAATTTTCATCTCTTTTCCTGTCTGTATCAAGCCTCTCCTCTGCCAATCCAGTGAATTCCAATTCCTAAACAGAAAAGGGGCATCTCTCTAAATTAAACTGGTGTGCAGATACAGAGTTAAATAGAGTTAGTTTTAAAAATGGAAACTAGTTTACATTTACAAGGGCAAGTCAAACTTATCTAAGCCTTGATAAAGCACTCACATGCAATGTTGTGCTGTTAGTTTAACTAGCATAGCTTGGGGACTAGAGCAAGTCAAGCCACTCTTCCTTTCTCCTTCCTAAAGGAGAGCAAAAGAATTAACCGGAGAAGTCTATTAACACAGGATGTATTAATCAGTTCGAAGCCTTCAGCTCATCTGGTGCCGATACAGAGGTCAGAAAGTCCTCTTGAAAAATGTCTGTCCCAGCTGAGTTACCAACAGAGTTTCAATGAAAATAAATTGTTTATTAGCACTGGTCTTCATTTAAATAACAAAGCATGCTGCCTTTACCGATCTGTTGCACTCTAAAGATGCTATGTGCAGTCATGAGGGTTTGAACTCCATCTTACTCAGTTAAATTAAACTCTGACCAATTATGACCAGCACTGTTTTAAATAGAGCTTTTTGGGAACTTTCGAGTGGAGTATGTTTTCCATCATGAAAATCTGGACTTTCAAAATCACAGAATCACAGAATCACAGA